ACAAATCATGCATAATGCTAGCCCAGATTCAGGCGTGGGGAACCAGTCTATTCCTCTTAGAGAACTGAAATATTGTTGCATTTTCATCTTTCACAAATTATTTCATAGGCAAATAGCAGTGTGCTCTCTCACTCTTGCACAAGGCATCTTTCTGCCCTGGCTGAAGTCACTAAGACATTGTCCTGGGCCTCAAATCTCAGGGAAGAGGTGATAGGGCAGGGTGGATTTCTCCAGGGCTGGGCTCCCTCTATGAGGAACATTTCATTATCTGTGCTGGTGGGATGGGGTAGGTCAGGTGGGACATTCCAAAGGGGCTCTGAAAGCCAAGAGTCCTGGGGGGATGGGAAGACATAGAAGAAGGGTGTAGAGTCAGGCAGGCCTTGCTCTCCCTGCCTGCCTTAGGGAGCTGGTTTGGGCCAACGGATCTTGGTCACTTGGCATTTTCAAGTCCCAGTTTCCCAAGCCCAGTAATGAAGACAATAGCTTTCCCACCCATTCCCTGTCCCAGGGAAAGATGACAAAGGTGAGCAATAGAATTTAAAAAGAATGTAGTCCTAAGTGCAGTGTGATAGCCTGGATTGAATCTTGAAACAAAAAAAAGGACATTAGTGGAAACCCTGGAAATCTAAACAATGCCTGGATTTTAGTTAATAACACACCAATGTCATCTCTTAGCTGTAACAACTTATTACTATGTATGATGTTGACTCTGGGTTGGCTGGGGATGCTCGGTACTATCTTGGCAACTTTTCTGTAAATCGAAAATCATTCCAAAATAAAAGTTTATTTAATAAAAAGAGGAGTGAATTACTTTAGACCAATGGTTCAATTCTCAAACTGGTTTATTAAAACAGTTTTTAATTCAGTAGGTCTGGGGTGGGACCTGAGAATTTGCTTTTCTAACAAGTTCCCAGGTGTTGCTGCAGCTGCTGTTCAGTGACCACAAGCTGGGAATCACTGCTCTAGGCTGCATCAATTATTTTCAAACATGGTGACACCCCCTTTACCCCCACTGGGCTGACTCCTAGGGCATCTGTGTTCTAGGGCCAGCTTGTGCACACATTTCACTGTGACAGTGGACAAGCCCTTCCCTGGGGGCTTTTTCCAAGCTGTCAAATGGACTGTCTATCCCTAAGGTTGGTAGCAAGGGTCAGGAATCTATAGACACGATTTGTAGACTATGCTGCCAGGAGGTGCCACCAGTAATGAATGATCTGCACCCATTGACTAGAGTGACAGAATGGTTGCCCCTTCCTGAAAGGGCTTTTCCTTCCTGCAGATACGATTCAAGCAGACAACGCTAGGCAGGCCAGGCACTGTTTAGGGAGAGCAGAACAGTCTTGGAGTGGGAGGGGTTGGTCATTCTGAAGGAAGAGGAAGTGGGTTTTGAAGGGTGAAACCTAGTTGCTCAGTGGAGAGTGAGAGCTGCATTTCCCTCTTGCGCCAGCAGGTGGCGATGCTTTCTGGCCTGACGGAGCCTGCCAGGCCTCTAGCCTGCAGAGCTATGGGAATGGGGTGGGTGGAGGGGCCTGGCTGAGAGGAGGCCCAGGGAAGCAGGAGACTCAGCTGGGAGTTTGCAGTTTCAGATTCTCCTTATTCTGACCGCTCTTGCCTTGTATCCTTGCACACATCATGATGTCTGGGGATGCTGAGCCAGCTGGTGGCTCAGCAAAGGTGGCTCCTCCTCCAAGAAGCTTCCTGATTCTCTAGGCTGAGCTACATGGCTCTTCTGGGCTCCCCTGACCCAACAGTGTGTCCTCTCCCCAAACCAACCACTGCCCCCAGGAACTTGGGTTCAATGAAAGGTAGTGTGTAAGTTCCCTCACTGCCCTGGAACCAACCCTCTTCATCGTGGTAGATTTAAACACTTTTTAAAAATTTTACAAGTGATATGTGAGTATATTCACCTTTAAATCACTGAGATATTAAAATGCTAAGTAATTAAATATTTAAAAATTTAAATATTAGAGGGAACCTGAAGTCCACCATGAGGCCTCGTGTTGATTGTCCCTTGGCCTCCCTAGTTGGGACAATTACCTTCATTAATTTGGCATATACCCTTCCAGAACCTTTTCTAACTTTGTGGTAATGTTAGTGTGTGCAAGTAAAGAATGCTTTTCTTTTATACATTATTTTGCAGATTGCATTTCTTCCCTGTCAGTGTGCCCTAGCCATCCACCTCACTGGGTCTTTGTTCTCCCTGAGTCTCTCTCATTCTGGTCACTTCCTCAGAGGGGCCTTCCCTGACCATAATGCCTAAAACAGCCCCTTCCCCATCTTTCTATCACCTGACTCAGTTTTATTTTCTTGGCCTTTATCACACTCCTTAAAATCACTTTCTGTGTCTGTTTATGACTATCTCACCCACTCAGATGTAACTTCTTGAGACAGGACTTGATCTGTCTTATATATCCCCATAGGCCCATTGCCAAAACCATGGGTAGTGCATAGTAAGTGTTCAATAAACACCCGTTGAATGAATAAATTCCATATAGGTTTAGCTTATTCTTTTCATTGCTGCATGGCATCCCAGGGTCTGAACACAACAATGTATTAGTCATTGTCCTGTTGATGGACATTTAAGGGTTTACAGTTATTTTGCTGCTGTGAACACCTTCATCCATCACTCTCTGTGCTCTCTCACCCGTACACCTAGGAGTGGACAGTCTGGCCAACACACAGCTCAATTTGCAACTTCCAAGGTACTAGTCAATTGTTCCAAGTCCTCTCCCTCCAGCAGTTTGGGGGCTGCTTTCCTTCCCTACACTCCAGGCAGTACTTCTTCACCTTTTTAGGGTCATGAAGACCGTTGAGAATCCTAGGAAAGCCATGAGCCCTTTCTCCAGAAATACACACACACACACACACACACACACACACACACACACACATACTTGGGGCAATTTCTGGGGCTCCTGGACTGGATGGCCTCACCCCCCACCTAGGGGACCCTGTGGTGAGTGTTTAGAAGCCTAATCATCTCATGATATGGATGGGAACGCTGAGGCCCATGCTGATGGGGTGTCAATGAATTAATAGATGGGACCTGGTTTTATGGGAGGTGGAGGAAAGTGTTCAGACCCAGATCTATCTCCAGTCAGAAAAAAACATCTATCAGGGGGCTGGGAAAGGGGTTCTAGCCCTGCTCTACCCTGGTACACCCCCCGCCCCCCCCCATGGTCTTCAAGGAATCCCAGGACTCAGGGCTGATAGCTCCACCTCTCAGCTCTGGCAAAAGGCAGCCCGCGTCTGGCATCCAGGGTCAAAGCAGGGAACCAGGGCGGGCTCTGACTCCCCGGGCCGGGCACAGGGATTGTGTGCTCCAAACCACAGGTGCTTCCTGGGTCCGACCCAGCCTTCGGGGCTCGAGTCCCGACTGTGGCGCTTCCACAGAACAGGAAGGTGGGGGCTGCTCCTTACAGAGACTCACCACCACCACCACCATCACCCTCATCGCGTCCATCCTTGACACCATCGGCTTGAGAGGCGGACAGGGCAGCATGACCTTTTCCTGTGGGACAGATGGGACAAACCGCGGGCTCCAGCGGAGCAGCCGCCCTGCCCCAGAGCCCCGGGGAGAACAGCCTGGTTAAATGGGCCGCACACACCGACCCCCGGCCCAGCCGCCCCGCCCGTCCTGGCGGCCCCTTTCCCCGGGCCTGACCCCCGGGGCTGCCTTGACAGATGACCCTCAGCTGCCGCCAAAT